AGGTGGTGGGTTTAAGGGATAGGATGAGTTTGGTGACAGAGGATGGGGAAACGGGTACGAAGGTGTGTAGGGGAGGATGGGTAGGAGTCGGAGTGTGGGAGGGAAGGGGTGGGTGGTGGGTGGATGTTGGAGGGGAAGTGACCGCGGAGCGAATTCCCTTGATCTTGGATTCAAGGAAATCCAGCATCTCCTCGCAGTGAAGGTTGGAGGAGATGACCTGCGCGGGGTGGCGGTGGGGACGGAGGAGTTGGCATGTGGTAGAGAACAGTAGCCTGGGGTTGTTCTTCGCCTCCAGGGTTATCCTGGAGTGGAATGACGATTTGGCCGATGCTGGAGTGGAGCGGTAGATTTTGAGGAGGTCCAGACAGATTTGTCGGTGGACCATTAGGCCAGATTTGACCCAGGTGCGTTCAGCGGCCCGCACCTGGCTCTTCAGTGAGCCATTTAATTACATTTAAATGGAGGAGAAAACGCTCAAACAAAATAATTTGTTGATATCAGGCAATGCTGAAGCACTTTTTATTTGTGTAGCTATTATAGGCCCAAGGAGCCTGTTCAGACACAGGAAAGTGTTCAGGAAGGAAAGGCTGCAACAGTGTGTCTATAAAAAGAGATTAGGATAAAGTGCTCTATTACCCAAGGGAGGAGCACCAGCATCATCAATGAGCCAAGAACAGCCCCATACAATTGTAATATGGAAATTAATTCTACAATATTCTCTTCTATTATCTATTCTACAATAGATAAAATGTTTTTTTCAAATGATATCATGTTTCTCATTTCAAGACTGAATACAGTGCTACAGTGAATGTACCCAGGAGTTTTATATGGGGAGTAATAAAGATCTTAAATGTTTTATTTTAATTTTAAAATATCATAGCTGCTACATATTAATAATACTCTACAATAAGTTAATATTGGATTGGGATTGAACCAAAAACAACTGTAAATGGTGAAAATCTACAACAGGTCAATCAACATCTGCAAGAGCGAATGACAGTTTAAGGTTTTGAAATGAGCCAGGAATAGACCTAAAAGAACAACAAATTACATCTAAATAGCGCCTTTCACATTGGGAGGACATCCCAGCTATCAGAACCTCCTTTATGGGATAGAGGAGAGTTGTAGGTCACAGAATAAGACAAAGAAGTTCAAAATTAAATACTGACAATAACTTACACAAAGTGACAGTGAATACATAGTCCAATCCTTGTCCAGCCAGGTCCATTATACAATTTAGAGCTCTAGCTCACAGGTTTGAAGTGTTTTGTTCCAAATCTCATTCATGACAGGCTGGTCAATCACCAACGGTGATTATTGTAGGCTTGCTTTTTGGGTCAATAATCTGAAGAAAATAAAAAAGTGTTTTGACATTGTATTATACCTAGAAATGATTTTGTTTGATTTTTTTCTTCCATTTAAATATAAAGTTGTGTCAGCCTGGTTCAGTTGGTAGCACTCTCACCTCTGAGTTAGAAAGTTGTGGGTTCAACAACAACAAGATTACATTTGTATAGCGCCTTTCACTTCGGGAAGATGTCCCAAGGCGCTGGACAGTGTACAGCATTTCAGACCCGAGCTGGGGTGAGGGGGGGAAGGAGAGGAGGGGAAGGGGGGTGGCCGATGGCATGGTCAAAGAGGAGGGTCTTGAGGCAGGACTTGAAGGAGGCGGCGAGGCAGAGAGATTAGGGGATGGAATTCCAGAGGTTGGGGGCAGAGTAGCTGAAGGCTCTCCCGCCAATGGTGGGGCGGGTGGATCGGGGGACGTGGAGCAGGCCAGAGCCGGCTGAGCGGAGGGAACTGGTGGGTTGGTCGGGGGTTAGGAAGTCGCAGAGGTAGGGTGGGGCGAGGCCACGGAGGGCTTTGTAGGTGAGGACTAGGATCTTGAACTGGATCCTCTGAAGGATAGGGAGTCGGGCGAGAATGGGGGAGATGGGGTCACGGAGTTTGGTGCGGGAGAGGACACGGGCTGCAGAGTTCTGGATTATCTGCAGTCTGTGGAGGAGGAGTTGGGAAGGCCGACAAGCAGGGCATTTGTATAGTTGAGCCTGGAGGTGATGAAGGCATGAACAAGAGTTTCAGCGGCCTGAGGGGTGAGATAGTGGCGGAGTCGGGCGATGTTACGGAGGTGAGGGAAGGCAGAGCGGGTCATGGCTTGGATGTGGGGAAGAAAAGACAGTTGAGGGTTGAACAAGCCACCTAGGTTCCTGACTGACTTGGTGAGTTGTAGTGTGCAACATGGAGGTTGAAGTGCTGAGGCGCTGGCGCGAACCAATCAGGAGGGCCTCAGTCTTCACATTCAACTGTAGGAAACTGTAGGTTCAAGCCCCATATCGGGTATTGGAACACATAGTCTAAACTGATATTCTTACGCAGGCTGGGGCATGCAGCATTGTTGGAGGTATAATCCTATACCAAATATAAGGATTATTATCCTTATAAAGTCAGTGCATTCAAAATAGTCTGTTTATAAAAAGTGTGTGACTTCTCGGACAGTGCAAATTGTGTTTACTGTTTTAGCGGGTGGGGGAGGGGTGCGAAGTTAAAGAAAGAAAGCTTGATGTTTCAGTCTGATCTTTCATCAGAGGATAAGGGATAAGGGTGGATTTAACAAAATAATAGAAAGTTAAAACAATGCACTGTAGAAATACACATCAAGTAAATAGGTATCTGAAGGATATAATCAGGTCAATAGAAGGATATAATTGGGTCAATCAGTGCCTTGGGATGTTAATGTAACATTATCACCTCTTCTCCTGTTCTAGGTTTAAGTTGTTGCATAGAATTACATAGAATCTATAATAATGAAACAGGTCACTCCGCCCAATAAGTCCCTAGCAGTGTTAATACTCTCCTCCACATGTCTCTTCCTCACCTCCACCATATCCTTTTCTCTCTCGCATTATTATTGTTAGAATAATAATGCAAATAATAATCTAATAATGCATTATTAGAAACATCTTCCTTTTTTGATTTGCTTGCTACACTGTTATAAATCTCAGTGGTTAGAGCACTCGCCTTGGGTTCGATTCCCGGCAGGGCAAAACCTTGGGTAAGTTTCCTTACTCCACACGCCTGTTAATAATCCCTCAAGAAAAGAAAACAATAATAAGTTGGTCACTTCAACCCACGACTGTTCGTGGGACACTGCTGTGTGCAATTTGCTTCAGCGTTTCACCCACAAATATACAGTCAATTCACTTTACAGTATATTCTGTGAAGCACTTTGAGACGTTAAGAAGACGTGAAAAGCGCTATATTCAAATGCAAGGATTATTATTATTACAAATTTCCATCATTTCCAGGTTTAATTGAGATGTTTAGCACTTTTCTTTTTATTCTCTTCTGCCCACAGCTCCTCGATGGTTCATATCCTCCCAGTCTATGCTGCAATTTTCACACTTTTCTTCCTGACCGAACACTTGCTTTTCTCTTTCCCATATCACCTTCACAATTAATTGACTGATAACGTTTCACTAACTGCAGCTATGGGCACCTAGTTTATATATTATAATTTATAATAGTGTAAATCCACTTTACAGTATATGCTGTGAAGCTCTTTGAGACATCTCAATGATGTGATTAGGCACTGTATCAAATGCATGGATTAGTAAATAACATACAAATCTTATTTGTATGCATTTCTTAAACGTCCCAATGCCTGTGTTTCCTTGTTCTGACCTTACTGTTCTCCTCCATATTTCCATAGGTTCAACCGGCAATATTGCCCCATCATTTCAGATGGTGAACAGGCAATATTTTTCCCCTTTTTCATTTCAAGAATTCCTTCGACTTGCCTTGCCTTGCTTGACTTTGCTTAAGTGATACTTTACATTCGTCCGGATAAGTGTGAAGTTGACAGACCTTGCAAAATAGAAACAGTTTTCACATCACCAAGTGAAACTCCGCAGGGAACAGCGACCAAGAAAACTACAAGCTCCTACAAGGAGAGAGAGACACACACACATACAAACAGAAGTAACAACGGTCTGGTTGACATACTCTCATTGTTATTTAGAGAATCCTTTACAATCCATTACCCCATTTAGTGGACCGCACCTAATTTGCAAAATTGCCATTATATTGGTCTACCTAAATGTCCTTTGTGATAAAATGGCAAACCACAGCGACTGTTCGAGTCTGAACAAGTGCATTCCTGATCAGAGAAGAATGTTTTTAGCTCAGTATGGGTCCACTCAAGACGCACTCAAGTTCGAGTCTGCGTGCGTGTTTGTATGTTGGATAAGACATATATTTCCCAACACCTGGTTACCCTCTCACTTACACACACACACATACCAAGAACGGTTAAGTAACCTGTTTGCTTGAAAACGTACTCAACTAACTCGTGTTATTGTCAGCTGAATTGCACACGGTTCAAAACACAGAAAACGAAAGTCTTTTTCTCAACAAAAAAAAAACCCCACATCTGCCCAAGTGAATGGTCTCTCCTTCCCCTTCTCTGCAATTGCCCTGTGGTTTGAGAATGACAAACCATTACTGGGAGAGCTGGTGGGGAATGCAATGATTAGAGGAACGTGATGGGAGTGTTTTCTCTGTCTGCCCATCATCACTGTAATGTAAAGAACTCACATATATATATATACACACACATATATATAAACACTGTTGGGGGCGTTTAATGCAAAACTTGAAGCAAGGGAGTGGAAGTCCCTGCTCCTGGGCGAGAGAGGTGCTGGGGGCTGATTGGGGCTGGAGAGGGGTGGGGGGGGGGGGGTGGGGAGGTGATGGACAGGGAGAGTGGGGGAGATGGTTGGGTGTGGGAGGTGTCAGTCAGTGAGTTGGGGAGGGAGGGAGGGAGTGAGGGAGTTGTTGCTCTGTGACTGGCGTTGTTCTCGCTCTGACTGTGTTGTCTGCAGCTTGTCTGAGGACGTGTAGTTGTGTGGTTTACCCTCACTCCCTCCCTCCCTCTCTCTCTCTCTCTCCTCCCCCCTTTCCTCCCTTCCTCCCTCTCTCTCTCTCTGTGTGTGCCTGATGCTGGGGGGGGGAGCAGTCAATTGAGTGAGTGACCGTGAGCTGCTGAGAGTTTCAGTGTCACTTACTTCCCCAGAGGAGGAGGAATTAACATTGGATGGACTTGGGGTGCGGCCATCATTTAACTCTTACTATTGTGAAGAAGGTGTGTAAATAAATATACACATATATATATATATAAAAAGAAAAGCCAAGAGCTCCTCCCTGAAGGTGGAAAAAAAAACTACAATAAGGGGAGGAGAGAAAGGGAGAGGGAGGGAGGGAGAGAGAGAGGGAGGGAGGGAGGGAGGAGTTTTTAAATTAAAAATTAATTGTTTTTTTCAAAAAAAAAGTCTTACTTTCTTGTGGGTTGGGACATGCTCTGGATTCTGTAGTTTCCTGTCGTGGGGTGAGGGGGTTGGGGAGGGGGGGGCCACAGGACCTGTACTTTGTTTCTCTACCCTGTGTGTGTGTGTGAGTGTTTTTTTTTAACTCCATTTTATTTTTGTTTGGTGGTGTTGTGTTTTTTTTAAAAAAAAAGAGAAGAGGAAAGAGACCGACAGAGAAAAAAAAAGAGAGGGAGAGAGAGACAGAGAGAGAGAGAGTGTGTGAGAGCAAAGGAGAGAGAGAGAGAGAACAAAGCCTTGAAAGAGAAGCACAGACGAGGAAGTTGATGTGAAAGGACGAAAGAGAGGAGGAAGAAGAAGAAGAAGAAGAAGAAGAAAGAAAGAAAAAAAAAGCCAAGAGAAGAAGAGACGGGAGTTGACTTGAGTTGACCCCCCGGTGTTGGGAGGAAAGAAAAGAAACTTGGAAACTTCTGGTGACAAAGGCTGTCCTCAGGCTCTGAGCTCTCACCAGTCCTCAGGGGTTTCAGGCTTGGAAATAAGGCTTTTTTATTGTGGATTTAATATATATAGAGAGAAATATCTTTCTCTCTCTCTCTATCTATCTATATATATATATTTATTTGCACACGCACAAACGTCGGCCGCTACTGGGTGTCTTTCTCAACGCAACTCCACGCAAATCTCTGCTGTGGGATTGTGGCAATTCCTGTTGTGTTTGAAGTTGGGAACCTGATGAAGGAGACGAGCGTCTGCAGCAGCACTGGTGGAGTGAGGTAAAATGGCTCTGCTTTTTTGGCTGGGTTGTGAGGGGTGGGGGTGGTGGTGGTGGGGGGGATTTGATTCCAGTCTCCTCTTGTGGGCTCTCTCTCTCCTCTCCCTCTCTCTCTCTCTCTCTCGTCCTCCTTTCCATACATTGTAAAGCGTGCGGGATACAGATGGATTGCATCCCAAGTCGGTCCCTGTTGAAGATGCACTGTCGCTCTCGTTGAGATGTTTCCTTTGCGTGTTTAAAGCAGCCCCCAACACGCATATCCAGGGAGAGAAGGGAGGGAGGGAGGAGGAGAGGGAGAGAGGGAGGGAGGAAGGAGGAGAGGGAGGGAGAGAGAGAGGGAGGGAGGGAGGGTTTGTGGAGGAGTGCAGTTTGCTGAGGTGCTGTAAACCTGAGCGTGGAATGGAGTTGAAGCTGTTGAAGGTCTGAGAGTCTGGTACAGAGGAGCCTTTGTTTAACTTGAGGGCCTGAGATGAAGCAGTTTATTCCACCAGCTCTCGTATGTTCACAGTCACGGTGTTAAAAAAGATAGAGACTATCAGTTTGTCAGGACAAGTGGCTTAAGCATTAAGAGCACAGTGGATGCACCTTTTGATTGACAGGAAGCAAATGTTAAGATTTTTCCCCCCCCCCTCCTGAAACATTGACCTTGTTTCCTTCCCACTAGTGATGATTTGGATTCTCTCCCCCACTCCCTCCTTCCCTCCCTCCCTCCCAAACATTGCAACCTTTTTTTTTAGGAAGATTACAATTTAATAAATCTACTTACTACTGACGTTGTTTTTCTTTTTGAAAAAATAAATCTAGTGCTGCACAGGTATGCATGGATCCTGAAAAGCTTCAAGGTTATTTAGTAGCTGGGCATCAGATATTTATGTCATTGTTGTGCTCTCAGATACCTAGTGTTTTTGACATTTGCTTTTGTGAGTAACACTTTCTTATTGAGTTTAACTGAATCGAAACAGCTCCCTGAAGTACATTGACCTCCCTTTCTGTTATGTCTTTATGCAAACCCCTTTATAGCAAAACGAGGAAGTGTGTTTGAAGACGCAGAGTATTTTCTAGTGTAGGACATGGTTGCACAGCCAGTTTGCCATAATTCACCTTCAAGTGCTAACTTTCTGTCCAAGAAAAAAAACTAATCAAAGCTGTTCAAATTGGAAATGTGAAGTATAACCATACTAATATTTTAGGGGTGTGGAGGGTGGATCTGCATGTGTCAAGACACCCGGCTGACTTTTTAAAAAAAACATACTGGGACACAGTGGGATGCACAGAGGTTGATTTTCACACACCACTCATTTCTGCAAAAATGTGTTTGTAACCAGCTGAGATTGATAGATGCAAGTGTCTTCACTGGCTGTAAGAGTCCTGTACAAAACTAGTTACAGCAGCTTTCACCTAGTTCTTGGTGGCAGTGGTAGCACCAGACAAAACTGTCAATAATATGATACAAATAATGAATCCTTCCAATGGGTAGTGTGGGGAAGAGACTCTCCAACAGATGCACTTGAAGATGCTCTGGGTTTAAGGGACATTTGTAGCTATTCCGAGGGAATTATGTTCTAGATCTACTTGGCAGTGTTTCATGCTTCTGATGGGTATCAAACGTGGAAAAGACGTATGCTTATTCTTTCCACTAATATTTCTGTTTGTGAGCAAAACAATTTAATTCAACAAAAATGTGCATTTGCCTTGTGTGTTAATGTATGATAATAACCTATGTAAAGGGTGTAATATAAATGCAATTTGTTGTTGTTAATGTCTCAAAGCACTTTGCAAAGAAAGTGGGGATGATCAAAAAGAGAGATAGTGGCCAAAGACACTAACATAGCTTTTAAGTAAGTTTTGAAGGTGGAGAGTGTGAGTGCAAGGAGAAGGGATTTGGGGAGATGTGTTTAAGCTATACATTTCTTCATCTTTGTCCAGCTGAATTCTGGAGTTACTAACTGGTTTCCGCATATTAGTTAGAATCAGGATCTGTTTTTACGGACATAAACCATCACGTTGAAGCCGGATGGTCCTTTATTGTGGGTATATATATTTTTCCTTGCATTTGATATGACACCGCTCACATCAGGAGGACATCTTAAAGTGCTTCACTGTGAAGTGTAGTGACTTTATTTTGTAAGCAAATTTCCCTGATGGACAAATGCAAACTGGTATAATAGTTCAGAACTGCAAAATGGCCCTTGTGTTTTTTTCTTGCCTAGAAATATCTGAGATATGTTCAGCTATTTTAGTTTTAATTGTATATCTCTGTTTCCACAGATTTTCCTTTCAGATTCAAAAATGATTGTTTATGTGATCCACCTATTCAGTGCTGCTAAACATGAATTTTTGAAGTATTTTTGCCATCCATGTAACTAGGAGCTTTGGCACTTGCAGTGGGTTCCATAGCACAAAGGTTGATGAATGCAGCGTTCCCAATGAACGTGCATCAAGTACACCTTATTTTGCACTGTATGTAGAAATACTAAAGTATTGATGTATATACACTATATCTGATGGAAAGATACCTTAAACTCAACAAGTTGAAGATGAGAGCTCATGATTGCCTTCACAAAAGCACGAGTGTACTTGAATTGAGCTGCCGTCATTTCCATTCCTTGGGTTCCATACAACCCCTAAAGTATGAGATAACTAAAGGAATGTGGTGCCCAAGATATTTAGGTTGCTGTTTAATTGGCAACACATGACAAAGGGTTTATATCTGACTTTGCAATTATTGCAAATCTGCAAAGTCAGAGGCTTTATTTTAATCCAAGGATAAAGCAATTGTTACTTTTGAGCTCTCTTACCACATCACGTTCAAAAGCCTAGGTATTGTATGAAATTAATATCCCCCCAATAGGTGAAGTGTCAGTGATGGTGATATGCCATCACTGTCATTAATTTGTGTCATTAATGATTTGTTCTGTTAAAAATAACAATCTTAATTTATGAGAGATGAATATATGTAGTTTATATGATGTTTTACACAGTTGTTGAAGAGTCTTTAAATGGCATTATTGCTGGCAACAACCTGGTTCTAACAATGCTTTTGTATGGAATCTCAGAAGAAGGCTGTTCGAAGAAGATTTTTTTTTAAAAAATGGCATCTGGGTGACAGGGTAAACCTATGGATCAGAAGTCTTTGAGATCTAATTAAGAATCTGCTGTATCATTTGACTGGGTCAGGCAACAAAATCCAAAAAGATAAAAAGGATTTAAAAAGTCTGGTTGAAAAGATCTTTGGGACTAGGCTCTGATGGAGAATATTTGGAAGAGTAAACTGCACTATTTACTAAAAAAAACATGTCACACTTCTTTTGAATAACTGCTATCTCTTATCTTGTGTGTGTGGAAATTTGCCTGTGCTTAAAATATATACAGTACCTTTAAGCTTTTGTGGATTATGCAATACCTGGTTATTGATAGTAACTTTAAATTAAATGTGAATTTCACTTGATTCTAAATTTGTGAATGTGGGTTAATTTGAAAGGTTTAGATTGTTTTTTTCAATTATCTTAATTTTATTTCACAAGTTTTATCCAATTTCCATTAACTGTGCTCAAAGGTTAAATTTGTGGAGTGTCTTTTTCCATCAGATAGTCTCAGGAATAATAACTGCAGCTCTCCCTTCTATAGTACCTTTTTAGTTAGGAAAACATCTCAAAGCACTATTCTGAGACTGTGTGGGAGCCCGAGCAGTGTGGGGGTGGGAGGGCGGAGATCAAAGGTGCAGTCAGAGATAGGTTTTAAAAATGTTTTGAAGGTAGAAAGGGAGGGTCAAGGTGGAATGATTCAGGGAGAGAGATCCAGAAAGCAGGGGCAAAGTGATTGAAATCTTACCTTCTTTAACATTTTATTCTGAGCTAAATTATTTTCTTTGAGCTATGTTAATGTTTAATTAAATTACCCTGCCTCAGTCTGTATTAATATTTACATTTTTTAATTCAGCTCAGGTCTGAAATGTCTATAATCTGCATGACCTGGAACCACCAGGATAATTGTAGAAAAAACTGAGTGAGCTGGAACAAAACATATAATACTGACGTACAATACTTCCTTTAAGATCCTTAAACTGGCAGTCACATTTATCACAAATTATTTGAATCGTCGGGAGTTTGTCTGAGTTAGAGTCTCCTATCAGACAATGTCAGGAGTTAAATTCCAAACTCCACCCTGCACTAATTTTCCATCTTTACTCTATTCCCTCTTTTTTTCACTTTATTTTGCAAAGTGCTCAGCTTTCCAGGTGTAGTTCCCAAATCCTTGGATAGGGGTCTATTTTGTTCTATCGGCAATCTCGATTGTATCTGTGACAGTAGCAAGAACTCCATTCTGTAACACTTTCTACCTCCTTTCCAAACTCCTAGAATAAATAATCTCTTCATCCCAATTTCCTTATCTGTGAAATGGATTCTCCAGGCTAAATTTCAAAAGGTCTGTTGCCATTTTAACTGGAGAATTAAATCCCTTGAGGTGCCATGATATTTTAATTGATTATTTTTGTGCTGAAATAATCTTTACTAATGTGTAGAATTCAATTCAGGTCAGTACTTGCTTCAAAGAGGTTTGTATCTTCATTGTTGAACATCTATGAACCTATGAATATAACCGATTTCCATGCTGAAATGATTATTTCCCTAATAACCCATTTTACCAATTCATTTTCACCACCTTTCCCAGTTGCCAGTAAAGATATTTGCTTGGCTCATTTGGTAGCATTCTTGGCTCTGGGTCTAGTCTGTTTTGTTGACATGGATTATTAACATGGGCAGGTGCTTTTTGCCTGTTCAGAAACACACTATTTTGGAAATAGAAAGAATGTCCGAGCCAACATTTTTCTTAATATTTGTGGCTATTTGCTTAACTTTGCTGTGTGCAAAATGACTGGCATATTCGACCACAAATACGGAAATGAACAAAGCAATTACCTTTGATAAAATTTTGGGAAATGGTAACATTATATCCACAAACGTAGTATCACTCAGGGAGAGCCTTTCTGTAAGATCAAAA